AGCCTCACCCTCTTGCCTCCCCCTCCCTCCCCTCCCCTCCTCCCACCCACCCTCCCTGTGCTTAATTTATGACCTGTGAGGAGGAACCCAGGGAGTGAGAAGTGAGTGAGACTGGTGTGAAAGCCCTGAATAGAGCAGGGGCAACAGGCCCTCCAAATAACACAAAAGAGGCACCACAGCTGTTTGGAGGCAAAACAAGCCTTGGGGAGGCAGTGTCTTCTGCACCCAGCTCCCAGCCTGGCACTCACGCTGACTCTGTAAGCCGAGTTGTTAGAAAGAACAGTGTAACACAGTTGTCACTTTGAATTTGTAGGGAGGAGAACCCTTCCAAGATAAAGTCCAAGTGAATTTTTTTTTTGTCCCCCCGACTTCAAAAGAAACGTTGCGAAAATAAAATCTGGATTTTCGTTTTGATTTCCCCCAGAATTTATTATATACCCTTGAGTGGTCATCAAGGGAGAGGATGTTCCATACTGGGACATTTGTCTTAGGAACGTTTCATCTTAATATAATGTTATATAGCAAGCGAACAAGGCTGAGGGGGAGAAAAAAAAGACAGACGGATGTAAATGAGGTGGAAAAAGAGAACAAGCCGTGGCTCCGTGGGTCTGTGTGAGCCAAGAGGAAGGAAAGAAAAACAGCACAACAGCCGATCACCTTTACAGAGGCTTGGATCACTGCAGGGCCCACGCTGAGCCGCAGGAAAGTGTCACCAGCCTCCGTGAGCTCGCTGTCAAACGCTGCTTACCGACTGTCAACTGCAGCTAAAAATGATTTCAGGATCCAGGGTTAGAAGTTCAGCGTACTGTTTTCTTCCCCCAGACTGAGGGAAAGAAAAAACGCTGTCACCGATGCTCGGCCCGTTTTAATTTATCCCCCCTCTGTACACATCTCTGCTGGCTTCCCGTTCCTGCAGCATGAACGTCTGCTGCTTGGTTTTCCACTCAGGCCCATTAGCTGCAGCCACATGCAGGACACGTGTGGGCTCCGGGTGAAGCCAGTGTGGCTACAACTTAATTGCAGCACATAGTGTATTTATCTTCAGTACAATGTTGTAGGAGACACTTTGGTGGAACTGTTGTACTGTGTCAGCAGTAACCAACCTCCGTCCAAGTGAATCTCCTTCCACCTCCTCCTTCCACCTCCTTCCTGCTGCACAAAAGAAACTTTACTTCCAGCCTCTGTGTGATCAAATGTATCAGTTTTTTGTTCCAGTCTAAGAAAAT